AACCATGAAAGTTGGCTTGGTGGTGGAAGTTGGTTTTAAAGTGAAGGTTGAATGGAATTTCAGAAAGTTGGTTGGAAAAGCGAAAACTTTAGCTGAAAAGTCGGGAAAGTTGGTTGGAATGTTGTAGAAGTTGGATGAAAAGTTGGTTGTAAAGTTGACTGACAGTCTTGAAAGTTTGATTGAAATACAAAAAAGTTTGTTGGCAAGCCAAAAACGTTAAATGAGAAAGGTGAAAACTTTGGCTGAAAAGCCATGAACATTGGTTGGGCAGTCGTAAAAATTTGTTGTAAAGTTGAAAATTTGCTGGAAAGTAAGAAAGTTGACTGGTTTTGGAAGTCGTGGAAAGTTGGTTAGAATGTCAAGACGAACAAGTTGGATTGAAATGTATGAAAAGTCGGAAAAGTTGGTTGGCAAGGTGGAAAAGTTAGTTTAAAAGTCAAGAAAGTTGGTTGAAAGGTCAAAAAATTGTGATAGAAAGTTTGTCAGTTGTGAAAGTTGGTTTGAAAATCAAAGAAGTTTTGATTAGTAAATCAAAAAGCTTAAAGGTTAAAATGGCTGGTTGCAAGGCAAATACAGCGCAAAAGTTAAATAAATAGTTGGGAAAGTTGGTTGGAACGTAGACAAATTTGGTTCAACAGTTGTGAAAGTTGGTTGGAAAGATGAAAAAGTTTGCTGGCAAGGAAAAAAGGCTGCTTGGGCTGCTGTAAAAGATGGTAAGAAAGTCAAGAAAGTTGGCTGGACAGTCGTGAAATTATGTTAGAAAGTCGAATATGTTCAGTGTCCCAAAATAGACAGATCACGAAAATAGTTTTGTTTATAACGAGCGATTTGAAAATTTCTGCACTGTTCAGAGCAAATGTAGTGTGGCTTCATTTCAGGGTTGTTTGAAATGCCATGCATTGTAATATTTTGGACTAGTCTAGATAGCAAGTGGTTAAATACTGGAATTAACATCTACTATTATGATGTTGGTGTAGCAATAAGGTGATCAAACTTCTGATAAATTTCTGATATACTCATGAATGTTGACATTCATTGCCGCCACTGCCAAACCTTGTCTCTCTTTCGTAAGTAGGCTTCCAAAAATAGTAAATTCCCCGACCTCCTGGCTCGTCTAGCTTATTTCCCTTAACATGGTTTTGATCTTCACCAAAATCACTCTCATTGCCGTCAAAATCCATGAAAACATCCATGAACTCCTCGTCGTCGCTATATACATCCGCCTCCATTTTGAAATTTTATTTGGGTGACGAACAGACATTTGGTAACTTACATAATCTCAGTGTTTTGCATAACCTCTTAACGCAACTTGCAAGACTTCATTGAGATTATTGATAATGTGTGATCCGTTAGATAAACGGGGATTAAAATGATTACAACTTACATAGATCAGAGGAAATACCGCAGTTTCCCATCCCTCTTTTAGAGGGTTTATGGTGACACCGACATTTCTACAGGCTGTAAATCTGATCCTAACCATGTGCGATTTACTAAGGTTGCAGTTTGATCACCCCCTCACACATTATAGACCATTTTAACCAAAAAAATACATCAAAGTAATTAAGATTTAGTATACATATCGCTTAATAGCCTAAATAATTGCATGTGAAGGCATTGAGCAGTGCATTGTGGGGCTTACATTGGGGGATGAAGCAAGGATACTTCAATCAATTAGCATAAAAACTCACCCATTTTTAGGAATAAGTAAGCAAATATAATATAAATTTGAATAATAACTACTGCCAATCCTAGACCAACATACATGGTTAGGTGACTCGCTGGACCAATATGCAAGCAAATACATATCCCAATTCTAATATCAAAAGTTGGCACAGCATTTTGTAGTAAGTGGACACCACACAGGTCACAACAAGTAAATTATCTTTCTTGTATATTCTTCATCTAATACTGCACAGTATAGCTTTTATTGTCAGCAAACGTTCACATAATAAAACAGTGATCAAATTTAATTCATATATTTCGATAATTTTCCATACATGACATATTATTGCACATGTTTTGGAAATTGACAGTATGGAGACAGATGCATTTCTCAAGAACATGATCTATGTAGTAACACTCTCATTAATCGCATCCTCAGAGCAAACAAGATTGTATATTGCAAATAATCAAACCATAACAGTATAACATAATTCGTTAATTATTATAATCAATTTGTACGCCAAATTGGTGACACAAATTTAACACATTTGTAATTCTTTGTCCGTCATCATTATTAGATGAAGAAACATTCTTTGGTATGATTTTGAAGATGTAAATCGGCATATGTAAATTATATTTGTTTACAAGATATTTGAACGCACAGTGAACAAAAACTGAGATTATCTTGTTGTTTGATTAATACAATACTGAAATTGTAATTAAGATAAATTTACACCAGTGATGATACAGTACTGTTGTTACCCTTGCAGAAAGTCATACATTGCCTCATTAACAAGCTCAGGCTGGTCTTGTTGAACCCAGTGACTTGCGCCTGGTATTAGTTTCACGTTGATATCATGCACATACTTTTCCAAACCTTCAGTCAAAGCAATATCCAAAGCTGTGTCTTCCTCACCCCAGATCAACAGAGTTGGTGAGGTTATAACGGCCGATTTCAACTTTGGAGTGTAGCGGAGTGCAGCTCGATAGTAGTTGATCATTGCCGTTAAAGCACCTGGGTTTGTGAAATATAACAAAACATTATAAATCAATGTGGTCCTAACTGTTTACTTGGGTAGAGATGTATTTGTTTCATAGTAATGATTATGATTAGAATTACTTTAAAATCACAGTGAATTTGAGCCTCAAAATGAAATATGGTAATTATGACTGGAATTTAACCAAAACTTCTTTACCAAAATGTATTTCATGCGTGTTGTATGGAACCCATAACTCATAATTGTTACAATTCAAGGATTATTGGAAGGGAGCAGAATATTATAGTAATAGTAGGTGATACCACTATACATAATGGGAATGGCAGGTGTCCTAATGATGGGCACATAAAAAATACATTTATAAACTTTTACCTTCTCGTTGGCAATTGTGCTTGAATGCTTCCAAATCATCTGCAGTGATATTATCTCTATTTCGGAGTCCCACACCACGTCCATGAAACATAGCTTTAATTCCGTTATAATCAGACATGCTCAGAACGAACTCGGGAAGATACGGAAGCTGAAAGAAGAACATGTACCTGCAGACAAAAAAGTTGAAAAATTAATATTTATTTGTTATTTGTTATCAACAGCCATTTAGCTTTCAACTACACAAAGTCAGTGCAAGTACAGAAGCTGACACAATAAAGTAACAATAACTTCTACAAGGGAAATGCCACAGTTATCATGCTTGATATGGGTCCCATAGGACATATACAACATGTCTAAATACAGAGTTTGTTTACACAAAATTTGAATATGTGCTGCAGGATGACTGTGTCACTTTAAGGAGACTGCCAGCTGCAATTGCCCCCATTCTATAGGACACCATGCAGTCTCCCGAACTGAATATACCACATGTTTAGTCACCTGACAAGAATGTACCACATATTGCACTA